TATGTATATAATTATAATAAAGTTACAATAAATTAAGTTAATATATAATTATATATACAGTACCTAATTTATATATAATTAATATATAATTATATCTACAGTACCTGATTTATATATAGTTTATATATAATACTGTACAGATGATAGTAAACTCAATTTACCCGCTTAAACTCTCCGTAGCGTGGCGCTGGACGGCGGAAAGTAGTTCAGCTGCCCGATGACGTTTTACCGAATTATAGGAGTTTTTTTATTATGTTTGTACGGATACCATCGCAATTTTTTCGCCGTCATGTAGGAATCCGAACTATAGGAACCCGTGTTATAGGGGGGTCGACTGTAATTGTTCACATTTCATTTGAATTAGTAATGAAATAACACAAATTTAAAAATACTAAAATTGAGAAGTGCTTCATATATTCAAATGTTCATTTTTTCGATTGAGTACAATTCCAGGTTTTGAAATGTATTCTAAAATATTTTTTGAATTCTCATGCTTTCACCAAATGCAGGTGTAAGTCGCTTAAGATACTTAAACTTAAAAATGAACTTGGTAGTTTACAGTAAATGTTATTTTTTGTGATATTCGTTAGCCCTAACGTCATTAGAGATATTTACCGCTAACGACGTTAACTCATAATTTATTTCCACGTGAAAAAGGTACATAAAATACATATTTTACTTCAGTTGCTGTCAGCTGACATTTATGACGTTCAAATCGATATACATGTACTGTATATCACTATTTAAAGAGCGTGTTACAAGTGACAGATGAATTTTTATTTGTTAGTATTATTTTTGTATTAATCTCTATGTTAAAAAGTATATCAAACACGAGATTTAGTTGCATGTAAATGAGATAGAGTACTATAATTAATTTAAATGTTAAAAAGTGATGGCTTTTACACCTTCAATAACACATATTATTTTTGAAAATTTCGTACAGCATAAAGGATGAACTTTTATACAAGTATTTAGTGCTATATATTTGTAGCAAAATGCATAGAAGAGAAGATCATTACATTGACAGAGAACTTCGGTTAAAAATTTTCTGAATTTGCATATCTTAGTATTAATTTTAAATTCGCTTTAAGTCACATGGCAAAAAATAAATTTAAATCTTGTACACAAGAAATTTTTAAATAGTTAAAAGAAATATGAATATACTTTAACTATGAAGTATTCAATAAAGAAAGTGACGAGTGATATAGTATATCCAATCAATAGAATTGAATACAGTCCAACTAAATCACTCATATTTAAAACATGTTTAGTTTCGGAATTTTCTGAATGGGCTAATCTCTTTTTGCTGAGTTGTCTTACTTCATCCCTTTCGAACTTCCTGATAATTCCACTTTCAAATAAGCGCAAAATTCCAAAATTGAATTAAAAAATATATTCTTTAAAAATAGACTTCATGGAAACCGCTGTATAAGACATTTCTGTAACTTACACTTTGTCGATTATTTTCTTGTGTGAAAATTTCTTGACTGTACCAAATGCAATATTTGTAGCATAAAGTTGATCTTCCGATATCATAAAATTTTCAATTCCCAAAGGCGTTACTACTAATTTTATGTGAATTCCAAACGTTATAAAAGCAACTTTTTCTTTCATTATTCTAATACCAAAACTTTTATCAAAATTAACAAATGTAAATTTATTTGATTTCATTAATTTTCTCAGAGCTTTCGCATTACTTCCAATTGATTGCTGTAAATAATTTTAATGATTAGCATTAATTTGTGTAATCAACAATAAAAATTGTTAATAAGCACAGTGGATAATGCTGAAATTATATGATTATAATTTAACGTCTAGTATATAAATTCTAAGAAATGTTTGAGAAATAGAGTTGATAATATATGTTGGCAATATCAGTATATTAAAAACATACAGCAGACTATCAATTACGTTATTTCTTTATAATTTTACAGTAACTTATTTTAAAAAAAGCTATGAGAAATATAAATATAAAATGATCTATTCGATGAGTATTTATCTAAATCATAACGTATCGAATTAAAGAACTTCAAAAAAAGCAGAAATATCTAAGAATTAAAACACAGATCGTAAAGCCTCATTTATTATGAATTTCAAATAGAAATGCTAGGCTGAGAAATACAGATTAACAAAGGTAATCACAGTGAAACCCAGATTTCGGAGTGTATATCGTTTCCGAATACCTGTCATAAATCAAAATCTAATAAACTGCGATAACTTTTTCCATTACATCTTATTGTTCAACATAAGTATTTCGTTTTTGCATAAGTGAGTCATTTACCTATTGTTCCTCAAATAATTTCATAAAACCTTTACGTTAAAATTTATTGTTTATTATGCCAACTGCAAAATAAACACTGTGCACATATTAATGAAGTGTACTGTACTATATAATTATTCGCATATTTTTCATTTTTAGTTAGTTTTTTCCGGATAATTTTGAATTTGACAATATGATTTTACAGTCCGTATAGCGCGTAATAGGAAATAATCGTAGTACTGGAATTTATTTTTATCAGCATAATGTTTCACATCTCGAATCTCAAATACTTTTCTGTATTGGAGTATCCTCAGAGTATCCATTCTTTAGTAATGGGGTTTAGTCCCCATTACTAAAGAAAACTCAATGTTTTAAACACGATGATTAAAAGTTTTTCCTTTCCCGTTTAAACTTTTCGTAAAGTTCATTCTCTGTTTTCTTTGTGCCATTAGAAATATTCTCGATTGAAAGCTTCTTTTTTTCTGTGAAGAGGTTTGATCTTAGAAAGCAATGAACCGACAGAACGATTTCCATTCCTTACTTTGTCTATTTTAAACCACTTTGTTAGTTGTAGTTGTTTTTCTCTGAAGAATTCCTTTCGTCATATTTTAAATCAGGAATCGACTGTGGCCTTTGTGTTGGCAAGTTTTTGATAATCGGGGGGGCATTGTATCGAAATAGTTTTCTATTATTCTGTAGGCATTAGCCATAAAAGGAATGCCTGAGGATAAAGAAATCGGAAAAAGGTACGTTTAGGTAGGGGAGACCGGGGCAAGATCGGCATGTTAAGCTTTACTTAAATTTTGTGTAATAAATACTGCTATAAACTGAAAAAAAAGCTTTGCATATTGTCTATTGGAATGTTACCTTACTATAGAACTGGTTAAAATCAGTTTGGAAATAAAAATAATTAAAATAATTACAACTTTACAAGAAGAGAGAAATTGACGAAGTTGCCCCGGGTATAGGGGCAAGATCGGCAACTTCTCTCTTTTTGTAAAGTTGTAATTATTTTAATTATTTTTATTAAAGTTGCCCCTGGTATAGGGGCAACAGTAATGGGGCAAGATAGGCACGTATATAAAATTATGTTATTAACAATGTATAAGTTGGAATTCACTATTAAAACAAAGAAATACAAATCCAACACCCATTTAATATTATTACAACGAAATGCAAGTTCAAAGACATATATACATGAATAACAAATGCAAACATGTTTTCATTTATCATCTGTTTGATTTTTATCCTTTGCTTCTAATGTGGCTTTATGTTGCCGATCTTACCCCGCTAGTCATGATTTCGAAACATTAAGTACAACCCTGAGAACAGAATGCCAAGCCACGATCTGGCCACGTGAATAAGTTGAAGTTACATCCTTCTAACAGGAAAAGTAACTTTCGTTATCATGGAATTATAACAAAACCTGCCAATTCAATATAAATGGAAAAAAAATATTATATGGAATTGAACGAAAATGAAAATTTGCTTGATAATTCAACTACGCTTGTTGGAGAACAATAAAAACACTACACTCAACAAGCCACCAATAAAACTCAACTGCCTAACCTATAACCAAAGTCTCCTTTTAATTTGTTTTTAAAAAAAGCGCTTGACAAACTTGCCCCGCATGCCGAAGTTGCCCCGATCTCCCCTAAATTGTAAGAAAGACACGAAGGCCACTACAGCTAGAAAAACTGCCTTATAACGTCATGTCTTCTTTTGCTGGGAGAGATTTTTTGCTCAATTTACTTAATTGTCTATCTGCAATACAAATCTTTCTATCGACAATTGAAAAAGTTCGTTTTATCATTTCCAGTTTTGTAACTATAGGCTAAACTTTTTTCTGGAAATTAAAATGATTATAAGTGTATGATTTAAAATTTTATATTTCTCCACTTAATATAATAAAATTTCTACTAATAAATATTTTCCAAATAAAATAATTGGAATAAGGAAAATATAATTATTTAATGCGCGACAGTAAAAGTATTCTAGAAATAACATTGTTTTTCTCAGTCAAATTATTTGAAAATTATTATATATGTAACTAGTGAATTAAAATAACAATTTCGTATTTTTAACTTCTTGTTAAAATGTGTTTAGAATTGATTTTAAATTAAATATATTTATATTATACTTACAAGAATGATTCTTTGAATTGAAGAATTAGGTAAAGTGCATATAGTATATTCTCCATTGTCTGCAGATTTCACTAATTTAGTAAACGTTCTGGGCACATTTTCTCGACCAGGGAAAATGATAAAAGACATTAATGCACCGCTGTAACTAGCAGTAATAATAAATATTGCAAACATCCATCCCGAGACAATCAGTCTGCAGCTGTGACCAGAAGGTGAAAATAACTGATTTCCTGCGAGTAATAACACAGTATTATTAAATAAAAATTATTACACAATATTTGTTTAACTGAATCATGATAGATATTAGTTTTTATAGAACCTTGATTACAAAATGATCCGAATAACGCCCAAGCAATATCGTATGCTTTCGAAGGTGTTTTGTTTCTCAATTCTTCATGTTTTCGAAAGATTATTGTGAATAAACTTACAGAAATAATAAAAGCGAAAAACGTTATTAACCACATCTGTAAAGAAACAATAAAATTTTACTTATTACGTAAATGTTGATAGAGGGATGTAATACTGTTTTTTGAAACAGTAAAAAAAAATATTTTCAGGTAAAGAATAATAAAAAGAACATGGCCGGCATTATTTACATTTAATAAATGGACAAAAAATATAAATACGACTTTTTCAAAGGTAAAACCTTGTTTCAGACATTTGTTTCGCCGTTTGCACCATCAGCAATCCATAAAAAATTCGCAAAGTTTCGGAGGCGACACGGTTCCTTTGACCTTTGTAAAAAGTCGTATTTATATTTTTTGTGTATTTATAAAAAATTTTTTTTCAACAAATTTTAAAAAATCAAATAAATTTTTAATTAGAGAAGGGAGAATTATACACTTAAAAATTATTTGAAAGTAAATTATACTATTCCAAAATAGATAAATGAAAATGAAAAGTGATGAGTTAAACGATATTTTAATTAAGAAAAGTTAAAAAAAACGCAATGCTATCAAAAACTTTTATTATTATAAAACAGAATAAAGGAAGAGAGAGAGAGAGAGAAAGGGGAAAAAGAGTGTTGTGTATGGCTATTTCTATAATCCCTTCGTGAGTTTTATACTTTTTGAAATAATGTGTTTTATACTCCTTTTGAAATAATAATAGTAGCCAAGCGCTATTTGTCTATGGCCGATGCTAACGAAGAAAATTAATAGTTGTAAGTTTAAATGTAATTTAGTGATTTTTTTCTGAAACTTATGACTAATACATTTCCTGAAAAAAAAAAAAACTGTCTCTCCAGTTTCTCAAGAGTCGGGCAATACGCAAACTACCAGCAACTGGGTGCCGTTAACACTAACCATTGAAACGCTATGTGCTAGTACTTTTTGCTGAGCGTCACACCGGCCCCACACTGGGCATCATGGTTTGGGGAGGCATTTGAGCAAGGCATCATGTTCGATCACCGGATGCCTTGCTGAAAATTTCCTGTATTCTGACCATGAACCAATACGTCACACGAATTATGGAGGCTGTTATATATAACACGGGGAAAGTATGGCGATCAGTTTAAAAATCACCTGAATTAGGACACGTTGAAATGTCAAGAAATGCAAAAAAAAGAAAATTTGAGACTAACTTCTGTATGATTTTGTTCAACATCTTTGACGCGTAATAACTCCTGTGCTGTTTGTCGAACATTTCTAAACCTTTGCAGAGAGGTTTCAGTATTAGGAGATTGACAATGTTAAATTTTGGTGGTTAATAGTGAAGAGGGTCGGGAAATAATGAGGGTCATGTGTATTTCCAATACGGTCATAGTTATTGACGATTTTCCTCGTTATTAACATTTACAATATTTTTATAAAACTCATCCCTACTTCCAAAATTAAGTTTTTTTGCCATTTTATAATAATTAAAATTATAAAAAGATTTTAAAATAAAATATGATAACAGTTGTTATCAGAAAATTTGAGCAACTCATTGCTGGTTTTTATTTAGGCGTACTGATTTCATCCTCTTGTTATTTTTATTTGCAAAAGCATCACTTTTTTAAAAAATGTGGGGCTATGCGGCCTTCATTAACAAATGTAAAAGTCTCTAATGTTGATACGTATATGAAATTATTTCATTATATTCTGTGTTGTCTCGTGAATTTTCTATATCACTTTCAAGAATCGGAAGTAATACTTTTTTGTACTTTTCACCGGATTTATAAACTTTTCAGAATGATTCCAGGTAACATAATACGATTATAAATCGAATGATTCAGAATTTCAGTTTTCTTTATTAAATTAATATTTAAGTTCTTAATAAGAATTTTCGAAATATCAGATGATCGTTATATAAGACTGTACTGAAATATAATGTATAAGTTAAAATCTAAGAGTTTTAATATTCAGTATAATTGGATACTCTCATTGTATAATTCTGATGTTAGTTTTCTCTTCACGTTATAGGAACTAAATGTTATAAAGTAATTATATTGCATTGTAACATGCAATTCTTCTAATTAACATCTGTAACAGATATTAATTAAAAGCAGATACTAATATTGCTCGTAATTATAAAAAAGCACAGTGGAACTTCGCTTAACGAGCATCTCTCATAATGGGTAATTCGCATAAGGAGAAAATTGTAAAAAATGATTCATTTAACGAAAGACTTTTCGTATAACGAGTGACGAGGAGAGGGGAAGTTCCGATTGTGCACATGCTACATCAGACTGTTTAGCAATTGTTCCGCTAGCATCTTAGTTTCGCTTGTGATCACACATTTTACCAAACTTGTGTTCAAAAATATTACATATAAACATCAACAACCATATAATAAACACTTCCAACAATATGCCAAATTCTTGGGCTATGTAAGGGCTATAATTAAATACTGTGTTTCGGTTTTTTTGTATTGTGCAAATCGAACTCACATTCAAGATTGGTTCATTTAGTGGTAGAAGAAAAGATAAAGATGATTCACGCTCCTTAACAATGTATTGTATATTTTATAATTTGCTTTGAATAAACGTTATACATAATGTGAGCCGCCGGCAGGGGCGGACTGACCCTAAAATTTTTGTGTGGAAAATTTATTCCCAGCCCAGCCCACAAATAAAAAAAATGTATTTTTTCTATTTATATTTAAATATATTCAAAATACAACATTGACAAAAATTACAATAAGCACAAGTCTATATTCTACAATATTAATTTTTTATTTAGAAGTTTGCTTTGTTGAGCAATAATATTAATGACATCATCAGAATGTATTTCGTTTAAAAAATCCTTCTCCACTGACATTAACACGAAGGCT